TGAGTTTCTTCCAGACATCTCCGCCCCCCCCCACGAAGATTTTGTTTTAGTAAAATGAAAACGCGATGCTACCATTGCTACCAGAAACTGACAATAAACAAACGATGGAATTCAACGATTCAAAATATTTGTTGATCTTGATTTCGACTAAAATCACATTAAAAAAAGAGAATTGCTGTAAAGTAAAGTGTTTAAAATTGTGCAAATGTTTGATGAAAATTGTAGTTATTGCCCCCCCCCCCCTCTCCATTAAGCACCCTTTGTTTGATCAGCACATGTGCTAATTTTATCATAATGTTTTTATTATTTTGCGACATTTTTTGGGATGTGAGCTAATTACATTTTTAACTTGTAAAAGTGTGGAAATTCGCGTTTCCCTGAACGAACATTTCTTTGAACGAATTATGTCCACCGGAGTGGGGATAGTATATATGTAAATATATCTTTTATAAAAAACTATCTTCTGCTTGGTGGTGTAATTAATATAGTAAATATAGACATAGATGTGCGACAAGTGTAAAGTGTTTAATTAAAACCAGAGTTTCTTCGAGTCATCTCTCCGGGGGGGGGGGGGGGGGGGCAAGCCTCCCCGAAATTTTTTTTACCGCCCCCCCCCCCCCGAACGAAATGAAATTTATATAATTTATATAGAAAATATATACTTTTAATAGTGTCCGCTCACCCCCCCCCCCCCCCCGAAGAAATTCTACCGCCCCCCCCCCCCCCCCCCGAAAATTTCAAGTGCCCCCCCCCCCTTCCCCGAAGAGATGCCTGGAAGAAACACTGATTAAAACCAATCCTAGATCTACAGGATAATTCGCTTTACAGTTTTCCTTGAATATTTAAAGTCATAGAGCAAAACCTAGACCAAACTCGCGCAACGTCGGTATACTGACATAATATTATAGTCCCAAATTTTGAAAAGTCAATATGTTAATATATTACAAAGACGACAGCAAGACAACAATTATTTATTTATAAAGAATTAGATGTCAGCTGTTTTACGGAAATCTATGTAAAATAGATTAGTAGTCTTTACTATTACTATAGTATAGGCCATAATAGGCAAAAGCTATCGTGCAACTATTATGCCTATTACTAGGCTTAGACCTATCATAGTAATCATACCATTAGTTTGCGAATGGTTAATATATTTTTTCAAGTTTTAATTAAGAATTGGACGATTATTGTATTATTATTAATGAAACGATCGATACTCTGCAACAACAAGGTCTTAAAAATATTATTATCACATCCTAAAAGAACACACTGACGTACAAAGCCACTTTTATCACGTGATACACCGAGATTGCGGCCATATTGGCAAACTACAATGGCCCCCGGCTCAGGCTAGGTTTTAGTTTGTGAGTCACTCATCCATAGATTGTGCCCCTGGTCTGATTCCCACGTAACTATTTGTATTTGTAGTCAACTAAAGGGGCATACGCTGATATTACCAACGTACTGTGGGCATCTAGTAACGTCTGATATTGCTACAATGAACCTTTGAAGGTAGGATCAAAAATCGTTTCTTGCGGTAGACGTATCTAAAATGTATTTGGCAGGATCGACTTTCTTTATATCGAAATGTTTAAAATTCTAAGGAAATATCAAATGTGGACTGAATCGAATCGCAAAGAATAAGATTAGATTATCTTAAAGTACATTAATATCAGTTCGTAATACATTGTTAACTGTATGATCATTCTTGTTTTAGCAGCTAGTTTGCTGAGTATCGATCGTTGCCATACAAACAAAATCCGGACCGTCGTTTTACAAAGAGTATGCGCTATCTTACGACCAACCAACACTGAACAAAGAGATCGCTGTCACGAAACATTGTCATATGCCCAGGCGTACTTCCTTTCTCATTTATAATCCATAGACCTATTTCAGCTGTTGGCTTTTTAAAAATAATTCTTTACTGAACCATAATTTATTTTTTTGTGAAAACTAGCTTGGACTTTTTTACTTTGAAGACAGAATTCTTTGTAACTTCTAAACCTAGCATGGAGCATTCTGTTATTGACAAAGCACTGTGTTTTGGTTTTAATTAATAATTATTAATTATGTTCTAAAGTAAGAATCTAGATCTAGATCTACTTAAACTTCTGAAACTGTAGTGTAATATGCTACCATTAGATAGATAAATTCTACTAGATCTAATACTGATTGGTAAATTTTAAATCATAAAAAAATAGGATGATTATTTTTTATAGATACCAGTTTCCGATAATGGAATCTTCTTTAAAAAAGGGGTGTTGGGTTGTTAGTAGTATTGTAATCTCGACTAATTTTATGATTAGAAATTAGGGTTAGGCGTATGTTTGGACCAGGGTTGGGGTTAGGGTTAGGGACAGGGTTAGCATTGACATTAGCCAGCCATGAGTGTATTTAGTTAACTACCAGTAACCTAACACCCCTTTTTTAAAGAAGATTCCATTTTCAGACACCGGTGTAAACATTCTCCCAATAATTGTTCTTGGTTTAGGCTTAATGTTATGCAAAAACGCGAACAAATATTTCATAGAAATTGAGTACCATTGATTTAATTGCACCATTGAAAACCCATTGATCTATCTTAGTGGCTTATTTTGGTTGAGTTTCATACAGACGGACAAACTTTATCAATTATTATATTGGCTACTACACCACATAAACCACTGTATTATCATGTCCCCTTCAAAACTATTCCACCCCTTCTTCACCCATGAACTCCTGACCACCACCTCTTAACATACCACTTGCCTTCTGAGTTTAATAACACATGTTGTTAAAATTATTCCTTGTTAGTATTTTGTTTCTTTTCAATTAATAGATTGTTGAAGTAGTAATATAAGACATTTAATATCACCATTTTTAGCACTATGTACATTCTAATATTACCTCAGTGTAATACCTTGTAATCCTTACCCCTTCCTGTCTAGGCTTAAGCATTTATTATACTATATTACAGAATCATTTGAACCTAGCTTGAAAAGTTCTACTAATAATCTTCTAAATCGTATTCAAAATTGTGTCATTCCATATTATTTCCTTACAATGTTACCCTTGTGCTTTTTGAAAAGATCTAATAATATAAGAAACTAATTAAACAAATACATATATACAAACCGTTATAACAAGCTTTTAAATGCACTGATAATAAAAAAAATGAAAAAAAAAAAACTTGCTTTCTCCAATAAAATCTCTTGGCGCTCATGAGATCTATTACATATTTAATTTTTTATTAAAGAAAGCAAGTTCGTTTTATTTTCTTTCTTTCAGTGCATTAAAAAGCATATTATAAAGGTTTTTATATATAGATTTGTTTTCTTTTTTAGTAATTCGTTTCAATTAAAAATCACACTACATAGGCTATAACTAACAGAGTGCCAGTTAAATCCCGACCAGTAACTTGTGATCTCTAAAAGACAGTTATCTGCCCTTACCTAGTTCGTTGACGCCGCTCAGGCTAGAAATCTGCCAACCGTGATAGTTCATCTTTAATGGTTAATAGATTGAGCCAACCGTGATAGTTCATTCTCAATGGTTAACAGATTGAGCCAACCGTGATAGTTCATCCTCAATGGTTAATTGATTGAGTGATATTTGTTTCTAAATTTAGAAGTTTAAAATAAAAATGTATTGAGTAATTATCTATCTAATTAGATTTTTTGAGTTGAAGGTATGTGGAAAGTTAGAACAAAAATTGATGCATTAGTAGTGGGTCGAAATTGAGTTACAAGATTTGTCACAAATCCACAGACATTGTGTAAAAGCTTGTAAAAATGCAAATAAATAAGAAAAAAAACTGGTAACCCATCTTTAGTTAGGTTACTTCCATATTACATATCAGAATATTTACAGTAATTATGGCAGTAAAAAAGATGAGTTAAAATTAGAATTATCTATAATTTAATGCATTGTAATATATTTAGCAAAAGTTTTATAAACTAATTTGATTACAATGGGTCACTGTATAAGAATGACTTAGGGAATTGGACTCTAGTTGTTGAAATGTAATTTTTACAAGATTTCTACAAACAGTATTTTAACATTTTGTTTAATAATTGTATTTTTTTTTTACAAAAATTATTACTAAATTATTTTAGTGCTCTACAGATTTTGTTGTAGGGTTAATAATTTATATAGATAAGATAAACTTAAAAAAAAACAACAGGCCCATGTATAGGTGTGTTGAAGTATTTTTAAAATATCTCACTTTCATTATTCAGCAACCTTAATATATGATTTCAAACGGAAAGATCACCCATTTTATTAAAACCTTTTCATTGTGATATGAAGTAATGTTTTGAGATCTAAAAGTGTAGCTCAGATAAACTATTTTTTTCACATTGAAGTTATGTTAGGTTCTTCCAACTGGAAACTTGGATTTTTTATCAACTGCACACTTTAAATTCATCCAGTGCTGCAAAGTGTTTTATCCCACCTACCCCATACTAAACCTATGCATAATACTTGCCTAAGGGGTGTCCTAATGACTGTTTGAAAATCTGTACTCACATCGCGTCAACACTTGCGACTTGTAAGGCCTATTCCCACGGAGTATATATAGGCTACTTGTAATTTTTTTCCTAGACATGTATAGTATACATGTCACAACTCTGTGTCAATGCAATGTTGTATGGGATCAGTAATTCTACAACTGTCTATTTATCTTAGCTTCTTACTTCTGATCTTTATGCTCATAGAGCTAGGAATAATATTTTTTTTTAAATGTATTTTATTACCAACAAAGGTAGTCCTTTAATTCCTTTTTTTGTTGCCTATAATTTTTAACACATAATTATCTTTTTCAGAATGGAACAATCAACACGTTAACATCCATGTATTAAAAGTTAGCCAAGGCAATGAAGGCATTATTTCTGAGAAGCACATTAAAAACTGAAAAAGAACTCTTCAAGTTGCTTGGTATTGGATTTAATGCATCAATAACTTGCTTTAATATAGATCTGGTTGTGTTTTAGTTGTAAACAGTGCTGAAGTTTGATGCTTTTAACCATTTCTCAATAAATAACTTTTTATGAAAATAAGGCAAAAATTTGTTAATATAATTAAAAGGAGTTCATAATATTTATATTTCATTTTGTGGTGTACACCATAGACATTTTAAAATTCTTTATGGTTCATTGCAAATCACGCTTGAAACTAGAAAAATTTCCTTAGTACCTGTGTGTTGAATGTACGTGTGTGTTCAGACAGTAACCAACATAGGGGGACTGCGAGAGCAAAGGATGAACATGGGGCAGAAAGTCTCAGGGGGAATCAAGACCATCTCCAACACCAGAGAGCCAACATACAAAGCTATCAACCGTGAACCTGCGTACAATCCTGATTTTCAAAAACCCAGCAGGCTAGATGCTTTGCTTGACATGCCTCCGTCCTCACGTGAAGTTCAAATCAAACATGCGTGGAATGCGGATGACAGGTCCCTTAATATATTTGTAAAAGACGATGATCAAATGACTTTCCACAGACACCCAGTTGCTCAAAGCACAGACTGCATCAGGGGCAGGTTCGGATACACCAGAGGACTTCATGTCTGGGAAATATTTTGGAGCACCCGTCAGCGGGGCACTCATGCAGTTGTGGGTGTTGCCACAAGTGATGCCCCTTTACATTGTGTGGGGTATCAAAGTTTGGTTGGGAGCAACAAAGACTCATGGGGGTGGGACTTAGGGAGGAACAAACTATACCATGACATGAAAAATACGCCAGGAGTCACATATCCAACTTTGTTGAATGCTGATGAAAATTTTGTGGTACCGGACAGTTTTCTAGTCGTTTTAGATATGGATGAAGGAACACTGAGTTTTGTGGTAGATGGACAGTATTTAGGTGTTGCCTTCAGAGGCCTCAAAGGGAAGAAGTTGTACCCAATTGTGAGTGCTGTTTGGGGTCACTGTGAAATTACAATGAAATACATTGGTGGTCTTGACCGTAAGTACACATTTTAATGTTAAAAATATTTTTATTTATAATTTGTCTAAACTAATATATTTGAAACTCAAGCTTACTAAACTATAATTTTAATTAGCTATACATCAAATTACTAATACTTTCACCTATTAGTATTTGTATGTGAAATAGAATTCTACAATCCATCAGTATTACCGTATAATTATTTACAGTGGTACAGCAAGATTCAAATCTAATATGTTCATAACTTTGTTGGTAAAGCTCATGGTTGCTAAATGGAAAGGTCTCGAGTTAGAATCCTCAAGCCGATGAGGCTAAATAGCTGGAGAGAGCAACTCTCCTAGGAGAGAAAACTTCAAAATGAAACTTACTTCCTTGTAGTTTGTTCTTGGTTGGACAAACCCTATGGAAGCTAATCCAAACAGTAAAGCAGGCTGAAATCGGAGTCAACTGCATAAATGGCGCATAACCAGTTGACATGTATACTTAATTGTGTTGAAGGGAATCCCTTCCTGAAATTGTCAGATGTCAAAGCAGTTTTCCCCAAAAGAAATTTATTAAAATGCCATTAATCCATTCGAGCCCCCAAAATTTCACCTCTTTTTATGAAAGACAAATGTATCAAAACACAATAATAGAGAACGTAAAGAAATAAAATCATCCAAGCTTATGGTAAAGGCTGGCATAGGAGGGGATTAGACAAACTTTCAGGATGTTTAAGAAAAACCTATTAATACAAGGTTTGTTTCTTCTACCCTTTCAATACTTTCATAATATAGTAGAAATGAGTGAGGAAAGTGTCATTGCTTTCTTGGGGTATTTCTTTTCCCTACTAATCTGGTTCCTTGAATCTCAAACTTTGCTCATATTTCAAAGCAAAACATGCTCATGACGGCTTGTATCTTTAAACATTTCGTGTTTGGCCACTACCTCTGTAGTTATAAAGTTTGATATTTGAGCATCCTGTTGTTTAATAAATTTAAATCATTAAATAAAAGTGCCTTATGGTTACAAGTTTTAGATACATTTTTGGCTACTAGGTATTATAGTATGGTGGTAAAACGTTTAAGCCGTCTATTAATTCTTACCATTATTCTGTTTTAAGCTGTCAAAAATGAAAAAAGAATGGTACATTGTGCGCTTTTTACATTGTTCAAACCACATGCAACAATAAAAAAATAAATGTTAGACTATTATAGAATAAAATGTTTATCACTAACCTATTAGCAAAATAAAGCATTTTTATTGCTGACCTTTTTAATAATAGCAAAATGAAAACCTTTTATTTAAAAGTAAACAAAAGCCAACATTTCTGAATTATTTTTTATTTATTAAATTACTTTAATAAAAAAAAACTTGGGTTGATCTTCTACAATTCATGCTGTTTGCACTAAAACTGTGTTAAATTGTCTAAACAAACAGAAATTTTAAAATACTGATAAATGTTTTATTTTTACCCCCAGCTGAACCTCTACCGCTAATGGATATATGTCGGAGGACAATACGAGCCCAGTTGGGAAAACACAGACTTCAAGAAACACACTCCCTTCCTATCCCCACATCTCTTAAACAGTATCTTTTGTACCAGTCATAGCATCTAGTGAATATGCACACTATCATCATTACATTTCTTTGCCCTAAACAGGCATCATCAGTCCTACATAGTCCTACCTTGATCATATTTTCTTGTTATTATTGTTGTTATTTATTTATTAGTTGTTGTAACGGCACATTGCCAGCATTGTCACACTAAATGTTGCCATCATCTCCATGATTGTTTACATTCATCAACAGTACAGTTGTGACATTGTATATTTAAAACTGATGTTTTAAAAAATCTCTAAAGTTTTTAAAAGAAACTACCCTGTAGTCAAGTTTTTAAATGTGTCCACATATCTGGAAAGTCAGTTGAAAGGATCATTGTAATACAAATAAGTTTTAATTTATCTGTAGAAGTTTATATGTTGTTTGTGTGATTTGTAATCATAGCAAATTTAAAACAAAATTGCTAATTTATCAAAATGTATCTTTTATAATAATTAATAATAAGATTATAATTGAAGTTTTTTTTTCTAGTTTAATTTTTTCAACATTTTTATTAGACAATTTTTTTTTTCCTTGTATTGATGTAGGTTAATTTACAAGTTAACTTTTTTGAGATCTCTTTTTTTTAATGCTGAACTAAAAACAGAATTCCCTGACACAAGTAATTAGCTTTCTTTAAAATCTCTACACAATACACAGTGAAAACCTTACATTGCTCAGTATTTTATTGCTTATCATTAAATTTGTGTTCATTTGTTTGCTATTTAACCAAAAGTGCAATGCTTACAGTTAAATGGTGTTTGAAGTTTAAATGGTGTCATTACATTTCTGAATAATGCATCACTGTTGCAGGTGTCTACATCTTACACATCACATTGACTTGGTTACAATTGGCCTACTGCAACATTTAAATATCACTTTTTAAAGATCTGTCTCAACACTTTAAAATTTTTGTTCTTGTGTATATTTCATTTCCCAAAATAAGCGTGATTTTAAACTTGCATTGAGTGCAGCAGAAATTTTAAAAAAAGAATACAAAACTTGTTTATTTTTTGTGGTGGTAAAGTAACTCAATTGTAACCATACATGTATCCAAATGATCCAAATTTATGTACATACCTTTGATCTCTGGCAGGGAGAATTGATATTCATGACTTTCCATTCTATGGGGAAAATTATTTTAATTTAAAATAACAAAAGCTGCTGTAGATGTAGATTTTTAAAATGTACTATTACTCATGACAACTATCATCATATAGCAGATTAATGTTGACACCTAGCTCTAGACTTGCGCTCCACAAACAATCACACTAATCTAGATTAAATATGATGCTTTAAAAGTATATTTTTTCTGAAAGTAAGCAGTGCCCATGTCAAAACTTGTTTTTGTTTGAAGAAGGTTTGAATATTTGTTTTGATGAAGTATGAAAGAGAGAAACAATGTTTTTGTGATTGCAGTTGTAATAAGTAATATACTTAAATGGTGTTTGGAGTATAATCACGAAAAGAAAAGGAAAAATCAGTTTTAACTAGGTAAAGTATTTGCATTAAGGGCAGGTTAACCCCCCCCCCCCCCCCCCAAAAAAAACACTTTTAAGTCAGAAATGTTGATTTTTGAAAATCTATTGTTTCTGAAACTACATTCAATTCTGAACATTTTTGTATAATCATTGTGCAAAATTTCGTATTGCTAGTATTTTTTATAATTTTTTAATTAATGAGACTAATGACGTAATTGACCTATATTAAGCAACATTTAGCAACATAAAAATTAAAAACTAACTAAAATAGATGTTCTAATTGCTGAGTAAGTGGTTCCAGATGCAATTTATGTAACTGGGAGGTTTTAAAAATGACTTATTTGGTATAGTTTTCGCTTTTTCTCGTTTTTTTTTCAAATTTAGTATATTTTTCACTATTTAGCGTTCTTCTCAAAATGTTACTTTTCAACAAAATTGTCCTAGTTAAATCACTATAACTCAAAAACTACTTGAAATATTTAGCTGAAATTTTGCACACATGTTTACTAAACACTGCTTGTAAAGTTGAACTAAAAGAATTTCTATATCTTTGAAACTTCTCATTTTATAAAAAAAAAAGCTAAGTCTACTCCCTACTTTTTGGAAATTTTTTAGGTCTCACATTTTAAAAATTTGGCTTAAATCCATTTTTTATTATTTTCTAATTGTTTTAGTTCATCTTTTTTGTAATTGCGTGTATTACACTATATTAAAGATTGGTGTTATTCTGACAAACAGAAGCTGTGTTATTGTGATTTCAATGAGAGCTAATTTAGAGCTATTTTACCCTAAAAATGACACTTTTTGGGAAATATTTTCTCAAAACCATAACTTTTTAGTGATTTTTTTTCATATACTATGTTAGTCACAACTCCCTTATCACTCAAAAAAGTCCTAACACCTAAATTTCAATTTGGGGGTTTAACCTGCCCTTAAAACTCTAATTTGTACATAAAATTATTATAGAGATTTTCTAGTTTACAATACACAAGAGTAGGTAGTATAATGTTTTTATTTTGTAGTGTTTATAAATGAATAGCATTCAAAATAATTACTATATCTGTTTATTAGAGTAATAAGTATTAAAAGGGTTAGAAGTGTGCAATATTTCTTAACTGGCAAAATTTAAAGAAATGGCAGGGAACAATTGTAAAATTGTAATATGTGTACAAAAAGAGATTCAAACTTAAAGAGCTGCGTCTGCTGAACTTCTCCAATGTTTTAAAAGTTGTGTTTCTAACCATCATCTGAAAATCAATATATTCTACTCTCACTCTCATCAAATCAGTAAAACAGTGATGGTTGTTATAATTTAGCAGAAAGAGGTTGTTTTAAGAATTTTGTAAAGCATATTGATACATTGATATTTTCAGTAAGAAGTTGTGAGATTATTCTTTTTCTATGTACAATATGAATTTTGTCCTAGATTGATCTTTCTGATGTGCAATATTAAAGTCATGATCATCATTTTTAATGACTTGTACATTTGTATTGTAGTATGTAACACTTGCCAAGTTGACTCATTTTTTTTTCCATTCATTTTGTATAAAAAACTACGTTTGGTTGATTTTTTTGGTGTTAGTAATTTATATTCTCTTGATGTGCATTTATGATTGCTTCTGGTCTCTGTGTTACCATGATATTCTATGTTAAAGATCATGTGAAAAGGAGTCCTTCCATCCCGCATTGACTTGATCTTTGAAGCTTTTTTCTTGGGAATTGGATTGCTTTCACAATGTCAAAACAGAATGAAAACTAATTTCAATCAACAGCAGTTAATTTTAGGTGCTGCCATGAATTTTTTTCAGACCATTGGACCAAGTTATTTATTCTGCCATTCTCTTAGTTGAATCTACAGTTAAGTGATATGAAAGTGTCACACTTTGAATATGCATTTTATAATTTTTGCTCCACCTCATAACTTCAAGTGTACTAAAATAAATCTGTTGTGTATGTTTATCAAAGCAGCAAATAGTACCTAAGTGTTAGACTTGAAACTATAAATTCTGTAATAAACAGTGGCAGGAGCTGCTTTGTATTCTTATAAATCAACTAGTCAATGGTTGCATTCTGTTGTAGCTTTCAAGTAATTTGAAGGTATTGTATCTATGTAAAATACCATCATTGTCATGTTTTGTAATGTTTGCACATGTATTTAGGTTGAATGAGGATTTTTTTTTTATATTTTGTCTTTTGAATATGCAGTTTTATTTTAAAGTAAAGCTATTACAATGTAAATCATTGTACTGTTGTTTCTGCTAAAGTAACATCAAAATTTCTACATTTCATATTTATCTAAAGGGCATAGAAAATAAAATAGCATAGTAATAATTTGTGTTTGCCTGACTAAGCTATACATTATTAGAGACACAAAGAAGAATTAACCTTTGCATAAACATTTTACAAAAGCCAGTGGTGAATGTAACAAAGTACACTACAAATACCTAGAGCCTGGATGTGAACCTTTACTATCAGGCTGCACAGGTTCATTATTCATCTACACACACTGAGGAGCTAATCATAATGCTGAATAAATTCATGCACAAAATATATAGTTATCTAGAACAAGAATCTTGTAGCATATAATTTATACACAAGTCATTAATATGACTCTTTATCCTGAATTACTGCTGAAATTTCCAAGTTTTTTTTCATCTAATCACAAATACATATTTTGTTTTCTCTTTGGTCCACTGTATTTGCTTAAACTTTTCGATTTTCCACATAAATAAAATGAAGAATACTTTCTTCCATACAATTTTTCAAATAGAAACATTGAGTAGGTTTTACTACTTGAAACATGGGGTAGGTTTTACTACTTGCATTCCTGTTCCAGAAGAACAATTGTTTTTTTTAAAGATTACATAATAAAATATGAAGTTGATCTCACGTGGGCGTTTCAAATGACTGACCAAACTAAAAAAATTGAAATAAATAGCCAAAATTTTATAACAATGAAACCAAGTTATTGTATAAATTACTGGTAAAGTTTAATGTAGATGCTTATTTATTTTAATCATTGTAATTTTTTTGACGAGTTAAATTGATGGGGTTTAAATACAAGCAACAGAGAAAAAAGCCTTTTTTATAATCACTCTTGGAAGGGCTATCCACTTTCAAAAGTAAGTTTAGACATTTAGACATCTTTTCTTTTTTACTATATTACCTGAAGTTTGTGGGACTTCAGTGCAACTAATATTTTAAAATATGATTAGAAGGAGTTGAATATAACTGTCAGTTAATGTGTTGTCCTATTTATTATCACATACTGTCTGCAGTCTATCAATCAAATATTTGTATATCTCAACCAATTGATTTCACAGAAATATATCATCAATGGGGGACAGATGATAGTTTGACATTTGACGATACTCCCTTTATTTTTCCTTTTGTTTTCTTATATTTTAAGGTGGCATCATATTGTCGGAGTGTGAGAGAGCTTCACATTTCCACTGTTAGAAGACATTTTTTTTTCATTTTGTGAATGTATGATTCTTATTAAACGTCCATCTCATTTGAATAAATTTTTTTTCCTAGTCACAAACCGACTTCTTTGTGATTCTCTAGATCGTCCCCTCTTGACATGTTTTCTATATGGTTGGATGAATGAAAAGTTGTATAGGAATAGGATATACTGTTTTATATAAAAACATCTTTATTATACTGAAACAATTACATTACATGGTGCAGTCAAAGAAACACATTTCTGTTTATAATTTGAAGTGGTTGCTTAAAAAATGTACCACCTTACTAAAAATATTAGAGAAAACATATCAATTCAAAATCCTACAATTGTGGTAGTGGTAATTTTTAATTTAACAGTGTTTCAATATTTCAATTCTAGGAATATATTAAGCGGTTTTGTATTCATAGTTAATTTTCAATTAAAGCTATACAGGCTGTACAAATGTTTTTACCACATTTAAAAAACTAAGTACAGAATTTTGGTTTATGTGAATGTGATTCTATTTGTTCAACTGTTCACACACCAATTTAAAAACAATTGCAAACTTTTGACTCTGATCACTGTGATGGTCAAGCAGTTAGAATGTATAAGTAAAAAAAAAAACAAACTCTGGCATATTTAAACACCGTGGTATCCTTTAAATTTTATACCTTAGTATATAACATTAAAATTTTAAGGGATACTGGCACATAAAGGGAAATAATTATTTATGCACTGCACACTGATTAAGGCATTTAGGCCTAGTTGATTTAATGAGAGGAATTTTATTTTTACATATTCATGAAGAAAATCTTATATTATAAAATTTTTTTCAAATTTATCCAACCATAATAACATTAAAAAGTTTTACATCGTTGAAACTAATGAGTGACAGAGAAACACAATAAATAATTCTACGCGGTTTTTTAAATTTGTTTTTCTAAACAACGGGTGCATTTAAAGCCCAGGAAAGATAACTCAATATTTGAACAGCAGATTAATTTACCTCCCATTACACTACAAAATAGTACTTATTGAAATTTAAAAACGGCTTCTTGTGATATAAATGCCAGTTTAGTGACATCAGTGCCAAGCTTGTGACATCCGTGCCAAGCTTGTGACATCAGTGCCAGTATGGTGACATCAGTGCCAACCTTGGCAGTGCCAATCTGCCAGCACAGAGGAGATCTGAGGCTGATTTCCCATCTCTAGCGCAGAAGTCAAGCAGTTTTACGTCAACAGAAAATAAAAAAATTTCTTCAAGTTCCTGACTGATATTGTGACAAAAAGCGCCTTACTGTTGCCTGAAGCTCCTGTTAGCGCTGAGAAAGAGAAGAATTCAAGTGCCCCAGCAATGACCAGGTAACAATAATATAAGTGACTATGCAAACATAGTTGTTAAAATCTTTACATTCTTAATTTCAGAAAGATTTTTCTCTCTCTGTTTACCTTGTTTAAAATACTTAGGCCAAAAAAGTTTCCGATTATATTGTCAGAAAATGCCATCAGAGGGAGCGAACCGACCTCTGGCCCCACTTTCATTCCAATTCGGAAAAATAGTTTTTTTTTTTTAATTTGGG